CCCTGGGGCTGGAGGCCCCACGTGTACTGAGCCGTCGCCCATGACAAGCCGGGTCCTGGGAGGCTGGCAGTGGCTTTGGGCCCAGAGCCCCCCTCGGCAATGAAGGTACTTACCTGGCTCCCCTCAGGCCTGCTCAGCCCCTGGGCTTATTTCCTTGTAAAAAAATCTTTGCTTATTTATTTTTGAAAAGGCCCCCCCCACCCCAGGCTGGAACAAAATCAGGTACAAGCCTAAGAGGGCTTCCTTGTCCGCTGCCCCCTGCCCCGCCCCTCTTGTCAATCAACATTGTGCGCATCCACTGGGTTTAAACATGGTCTTTGGAAATGATTCATTTCCCTTTATTTGTCAATGCTGATTGCCAAAGACTTGGAGAAATACAGACGAGTATATATAATAAAATGTGCTACAGATTCCAGCACTCAGACAACCACCATGAAATATGGTATATTTTGTGCACATCTTGTAATGCCACCTGTGTGTGTGTGTGTTTCCATCGCGTTTGCACCTTTGCTGTTTAGCCCACTGTGAACCCTTTCACGGATGAACACGGGCTGTGACTCGGAATTCCGCCCACTTTAGGGAGATCCTAACAGGCCCTGGAACCTCGTTCTCTAACCCCCCCCCCCAGTGGTGGCTGCCTGTGAGCAGCAGGCTGAGCCTCTCCCCCTGGAGCCAGGCCCCACCTGCTGAGTCAGGGTCACACTCTAGGGGGACATTTGAGACCCGGCTATTTTTAGGCGGCTGACCGGGCCCTGTGCCGCATGCAGACCTCGCTGGTGCTGGGGACAGCCCTGCTGGGACCATCGCTGACCCTGCCCTGGGCGCATTAGCCAATTAGCCAATTGCACATTAATGGGAATTTCATCTCTGAGCCCTGACCAATCAAATCAGAGTTCAGAATGAGGGGCAGGAAATAAAACCGAAAGGGAATACACGTCCATGTGCTGTGGCCCAGGGTTCCCGCCGGAGGAGCACCCTTCTCGCAGGCGTCCATCTCCTTGCCGATCCCGAGTGTTTCTTTCATTCCTGCGACATCGTTGACAGCATTTCCAACAGGTGGGTCAGACGGGTGTGGGCGAGGGGGGT